CTACTTGCAATTTGGCCCACTCTTTAGCGGAAAACTGCTCCATATCTTTTCAGACCTCTCCTTAGGTTTTTGATGGGATTCTAATCTGGACTCATCGCTGACCAATTTCTTCAATTTCAACTTATTTTAGAATTTTTTTTCGAATTATTTAAGAAAAGTGCGATGGTGCCATATTAGACGCACATAGGTGAAACCACTGCATCAATTTGTGTATCATGATTTCAGTGGGAAAAGAAAAACAGTTGATATCATAACTTACTTACAGTAAATACATTAGCTTACCCTAACCCTTCTTCAACCCATGTAAAAAAACTAACAGTTGTTGACCTCTTACAAAGCAAATAAGGTCAGGGCAGTGACTAGAGGCACAGGGAGTTGTTCGTTTAATTTCCTCTTTGGATCGGCACAGCTTCCAATGAGCAATCCAGGAAATTGACATGCCTTTATGATGTCTTTATCGGAACTGGTTACATAAACTTCACTCATTTGTATGTAATATGGCTAGTGTGGCGCCTCATCGGGTGTTTATCACCTGTTTTTGTTTCTAATTCCACAAGGAAATTGGTCCTCAATCTGGACCCCATTCGTTTCATATCATTTGTGTTCAGTGAATAAACAATTACTATTTTACAATCATGGACAAACAATACTAGTTCCTGGGCACCACAGAGTTTAGATGTCAGTCCGGAGAAGTTTGCTGTTGCTCGGTGAGAGGTGAGAGAATACAAAGTGCTCTTTGAACAGGGCACAGCACTTATTGTAGGAAATAAATGTATTATTATTGTACAGCCAATGACTGTCTGTGTGTGTGTGGTGATGCACAAGTCTTGTTAACTAGAGGGAATTCCTCAACTAAGCGTTATCAGAGTGACGCAGGCAGTAGTGGGGACCAGTCTCTCTCCTAGTACTGTATTGGATGACTAACTATCTCATTGATTTACTACTTAATTAGTGTTGTAATACTGAGACCAGTGTCGCCTGACCAGCCCACAGGTCCAAAGGGCACTCCCATAAGTGCTCCTAGGTCACAAACTCTATCTAACATGTTCTGTAGTTGAAGTTGTAGATTTTGAAATAAATTATTATGGTGTTTCCACTATTACTGCTTAGAAGCAGGCCCAGAATTGAATGGCGTATTGGGCCAAACGCATTCAGAGAATGAGTGGGTAGGAGGTGACTTTCCTCCTGTCTTCTTGAGCTGTGAGTTTGCATGACAGATCAAAGTCAAACTGCCATAAAGGAGATGTGTCAGGGGTGTCACCCACTTCCTTGTTCCTTGTGGTATCCAGGTGGGTTTGAGTGAACGTCAGCTAACAAACATTTGAGCTCCACAACTGCACAGGACTTACTAAAGGACTGGGATTTCAATGAGGACCATCACTTCAGTTGCTACAAGTAAGCTGGCTGATATGTTTTTTTTGTGGTTGTTTTTTTGGTTATGAAATGAGGCAATAGTCATTAGGCTGAATGGTGTAGAGTAACGATGTGCAGTCATTTCAGTCACCCTTATAGAGTCGTTAGGCTGAATGGTGTAGAGTAACGATGTGCAGTCATTTCAGTCACCCTTATAGAGTCATTAGGCTGAATGGTGTAGAGTAACGATGTGCAGTCATTTCAGTCACCCTTATAGAGTCGTTAGGCTGAATGGTGTAGAGTAACGATGAGCAGTCATTTAAGTCATCCTTATAGAAGAAGGTAGCAGTTGTATTGACTTAAGTTCTGTATTGTTTGTCATGTATAGTATGTTGTTTTTATGGATGATTGTAGTTCTTGCGCACCATTGTCACCATATAATCACCCTTGGATCTTAAAATTGGAATGACAGTGACATATTTCTTACAACATTGAGAAGACACGCACTGAGATCACAGTATGTCCAGACTTATGTAATCTACAGATATGTTTTAGAAAATGCATGACTTGTGTCTCTCTTGTTTCTTGAATTTAGGGAATAGGAGAGTTGTATCATGGTGGTGTTAAGAAAGGTAAGATCCTCAACATGATCTTTGTTGACTATTTTATCAATGTAACCCGAATGCCATGCTTTGATTATAAAGGTTTTTGAAATGTAATGTAATCAACACTTCCATTGCCTAGTCATTCTATGGAGAATCTCTGCCAATTGTGTCTGGATGTGATTGATCATCTAGGGTTTGGGGTCAATGCCATTGCCATCCATTTCAGGAAATGGCTTGAAATGGGAAATCCTTTCCCAGATCTGTTTGTGCTGTACCTTTAACATTTACATTTTAGTCATTTAGCAGACGCTCTTATCCAGAGCGACTTACAGTTAGTGAATACATATATATTTTTTTTATACTGGCCCCCCGTGGGAATCGAACCCACAACCCTGGCGTTGCAAACGCCATTCTCTATCAACTGAGCTACATCCCTGCCGGCCATTCCCTCCCCTACCCTGGGCGACGCTGGGCCAATTGTGCGCCGCCCATGAGTCTCCCGGTCGCGGCCGGCTGTGACAGAGCCTGGATTCGAACCAGGATCTCTAGTGGCACAGTTAGCACTGCGATGCAGTGCCTTAGACCACTGCGCCACTCAGGAGTACCAACTTCTATCGCCAATAGGAGTTGGCAAGACAGCACAAATAGTGATCTTTAGCACACTGGCACTCTTTGATGCTCCACAAATGATTTATTGTATCTTATACTCGTTTACATTTTAGTCATTTAGCAGACACTCTTATCCAGAGCGATTTACAGTAGCTAGATGGGACAAATACATATCTCATAGTAAGTCCATTTTTCATCAATAAAGTAGCTATCAGCAAAGTCAGAGCTAGTGAGGGGGAAAGAAAAGTCAAGTGTGAGTGTTAGTTCATGAAAGGCTCTTTTATTTATTTATATTTTTACCAGTTTGATGGAATTACAATAGGTGTGTGCACACTATACTTTCTTCAATTGAATTATATTAAGTGTAAAAGCTGCGTTCTTTGGATGTATGACCCTGACCATGACATTTACATTTTTTTGTACATTTACGTCATTTAGCAGACGCTCTTATCCAGAGCGACTTACAAATTGGTGCATTCACCTTATAGCCAGTGGGATAACCACTTTACAATATGTTTTTTTTTTTTTTTTTTTTTTTTTGGGGGGGTGGGGTAAGGGGGGGGTAGAAGGATTACTTTATCCTATCCCAGGTATTCCTTAAAAAGGTGGGGTTTCAAGTGTCTCCGGAAGGTGGTGAGTGACTCCGCTGTCCTGGCATCGTGAGGGAGCTTGTTCCACCATTGGGGTGCCAGAGCAGCGAACAGATTTGACTGGGCTGAGCGGGAACTGTGCTTCCGCAGAGGTAGGGGGGCCAGCAGGCCAGCGGTGGATGAATGCAATGCCCTCGTTTGGGTGTAGGGACTGATCAGAGCCTGAAGGTACGGAGGTGCCGTTCCCCTCACAGCTCCGTAGGCAAGCACCATGGTCTTGTAGCAGATGCGAGCTTCAACTGGAAGCCAGTGGAGTGTGCGGAGGAGCGGGGTTACGTAAGAGAACTTGGGAAGGTTGAACACCAGACGGGCTGCGGCATTCTGGATGAGTTGTAGGGGTTTAATGGCACAGGCAGGGAGCCCAGCCAACAGCGAGTTGCAGTAATCCAGACGGGAGATGACAAGTGCCTGGATTAGGACCTGTGCCGCTTCCTGTGTAAGGCAGGGTCGTACTCTCCGAATGTTGTAGAGCATGAACCTACAGGATCGGGTCACCGCCTTGATGTTAGCGGAGAACGACAGGGTGTTGTCCAGGGTCACGCCAAGGCTCTTTGCACTCTGGGAGGAGGACACAACGGAGTTGTAAACCGTGATGGCGAGATCATGGAGCGGGCAGTCCTTCCCCGGGAGGAAGAGCAGCTCCGTCTTGCCGAGGTTCAGCTTGAGGTGGTGATCCGTCATCCACACTGATATGTCTGCCAGACATGCAGAGATGCGATTCGCCACCTGGTTATCAGAAGGGGGAAAGGAGAAGATTAATTGTGTGTCGTCTGCGTAGCAATGATAGGAGAGGCCATGTGAGGATATGACAGAGCCAGGTGACTTGGTGTATAGCGAGAATAGGAGAGGGCCTAGAACTGAGCCCTGGGGGACACCAGTGGTGAGAGCACATGGTGCGGAGACAGATTCTCGCCACGCCACTTGGTAGGAGCGACCTGTCAGGTAGGACACAATCCAGGAGTGAGCCGCGCCGAAGATGCCCAACTCGGAGAGGTTGGAGAGGAGGATCTGATGGTTCACAGTATCAAAGGCAGCAGACAGGTCTAGAAGGACAAGAGCAGAGGAGAGAGAGTTAGCTTTAGCAGTGCGGAGAGCCTCCATGACACAGAGAAGAGCAGTCTCAGTTGAATTACCAGTCTTGAAGCCTGACTGGTTTGGATCAAGAAGGTCATTCTGAGAGAGATAGCAAGAGAGTTGGCTAAAGACGGCACGCTCAAGAGTTTTGGAGAGAAAAGAAAGAAGGGATACTGGTCTGTAGTTGTTGACATCGGAGGGATCGAGTGTAGGTTTTTTGAGAAGGGGTGCAACTCTCGCTCTCTTGAAGACGGAAGGGACATAGTCAGCGGTCAAGGATGAGTTGATGAGCGAGGTGAGGTAAGGGAGAAGGTCTCCGGAAATGGTCTGGAGAAGAGAGGAGGGGATAGGGTCAAGCGGGCAGGTTGTTGGGCGGCCGGCCGTCACAAGTCGCAAGATTTCATCTGGAGAGAGAGGGGAGAAAGAAGTCAAAGCATAGGGTAGGGCAGTGTGAGCAGGACCAGCAGTGTCATTTGACTTAACAAACGAGGATCGGATGTCGTCAACCTTCTTTTCAAAATGGTTGACGAAGTCATCCACAGAGAGGGAGGAGGGGGGAGGGGGAGGAGGGTCCAGCAGGGAGGAGAAGGTGGCAAAGAGCTTCCAAGGGTTAGAGACAGATGCTTGGAATTTAGAGTGACCCACTGTGCTCCTTGCTTTCAGGGTGAGTGGGTGTGGGTTGACTCTGGTATTGGGGTACCCATCGGAGCCCGGGTCAAAGTGACCGACACTGGACACCAGCTGCTGGTTGATGATGAAGGAAAGGTGACCATGGCATTTCTTTATTACATGTATTGTATTGAATTGTGTGTCTACTGTATTTGAATGTACTGTTGGTCTCAAATGAGTTCAAGATCTAAGTCATTACCTGTAGGGAATAATCTGTCAAACTACTATATCTCATTTTTACTATAGAAGTTATGCACTCTAGAATGTTGACATCATTTGTTCATCATTGTGTTTCTACTGTACTTCCATGGACAGTGATCTTGCATTCTGCACTGGTCGGTCATACAACAATATAATGCCAAACCCCAAAACTTAAAGGGACGGTTTAAAACCAAAGCCAACATTTTCAGGCTTACAGACCTCAAAATGTGACGTTATATGTAACTCAAGATTTCTAACAAATCCTACATTGATGTCAATGGGAGATTTGCGCTAAAGTTTGCATCGCACCGCCATATAACTTCCTGAATTTTCCTGTGTCATTCCAGGAACACAAGCTATCCCAGAAGGAGGAGGGCTCCATCAGGGTGATGCACCTCACCTCAGTGGAGGGGGTGGACGACATGATCCGCCTGGGGGACCTGAACGAGGCCGGGCTCCTCAGGAACCTGCTGGTCCGACACAGGCAGGGCATCATCTATGTGAGTCCCCTAATGGATTATGATGTACTACACCCACATGACAAAATACTATAGTGTACTATGGTATAAATATTATAGTATTCACTGTGGTATACTGTAGTATTAACAGTTAACTATAGTAAAATTAAACTGTAGTATATACTATAGTCATTAATGTAGTGTCTTTGCAGATTGTAGTATACTGTAGTATTTACTGTAGTGTTTTTGCAGACATTACTGTAGTATTGTCTATAGTGTTTTTATTTTATTATCTTTGACATAGAAGTGGAGGCTTTCTCCTTGAGGAAACCTACTGGAGAAATACTAAAATAGTGCATAATAATATTTTCCATGACCTGTAGGTAGGTAGGACTGGGAGCTGAACAGATAGTTCAGAACTTCTGCTCTTTTCATAACCTGTAGGGAACACAATATATGGTCTATACTTGGCATGTATGTTTCTCACTTATGGGTGGCACAAATTGTGATATGGGGGAGGGGAATGGATAGGGAATATGCTAATTAAATACTGTAGTATTGACTATAGTTAGTAAAGTGTTGTGTTCCTGTGGACTGTAGTGTTTTTGCAGACATTACTGTAGTATTTACTACCATGTTTGTTTTGCGGATAATACTGTAGAACTTACTATTCTACAGTATACTACAACATTCTATAGCAATGTTTCCCATTTTGGTTTTTGCCCTAGCACTACACAGCTGATTCAAATAACCAAGTCATCATCAAGCTTTGATTATTTAAATCATTGTGTAGTTTAGTATTCTACAGTAAACTACAGTTTACTACAGAATTCTACAGTAAGTACTGTAGTATTCTATAGTAAACTGTAGTATCTTTTTCATGTGGGCGGTACCCAAAATGCTCTGTGTTACACAGTTTGGTCATAATGTTCTGAAGCTTTTTAAGTTAACATGTTGGTCTAACCCATCTCCTTACCAAAACAACCATCACCGCTCTTACATATGCTGGACATTCAGACCCTTTCTATGATATGGATGGTGGATTATTTTGTTTGTGCTGAAAGATTTATGAAAGACATTCACAGATTTATTAATGGGGGTGCGTGACAACGGTTAATGTAATCATACCGGTTAATGTAATAACTTTTCTATTTGTAATAACTTTTCGATTGTTTATGCAATAAAACCGGTTAATGTAATAACTTGCCGGTCAACATAATAAAATGTTGAACGGTTAACGTGAAAACGTTTTCCGCTAAATGTTATAAGTTATTACGTTAACCGGTGGTTATTACAAACCGGTGAGTAACAACTTTTTTGATGAATAATTTAATAACTTCAACCAATCATGTAATAACATACCAAGATCAATGTTTTGATGTACTACTTCCCTCCATTTGATGCTCATACCACCACCCACTGCCAATTACAACACAAAATCATGCTCCCACTCACAAGCACACATTGAAATGTACACACATGCACAGTCATAGACACACACACACACACACACACACACATGCACACACATACGCACACACACATGCACATATGTGAACACGAGAAGTGTTCCAAAAACATGTGATCTTATGTGAAGTTTATGTGATAACGTGACAACATGAAACTACTCATGTGAAAACATGTGATCACATGTGAAGTGTTCCAAAACCACTATTTTTCACATGGTTTCACGTGAAATTTCATGTGAAATCATGTGTTTTTTCTGTAAGGGTGTACATTTCAATGTGTGCTTGTGAGTGTCTCTATATATGAGCATTCCTGTATGATGTGTGTGAGTTTGTTTGTGTTGTAATTGGCAGTGTGTGGTCGTATGTGCATCAAATTGAGGGAAGTAGTACAAAAACTATTACATGATTAGTGGAAGTTATTACATTATTCATCAAAAAAGTTGTTACTCACCGGTTAATGTAATAACCACCGGTTAATGTGATAACATTACATTTAGCGGGTAAAGTTTTTACATTAACCAATCAACATTTTATTACGTTAACCAGCAAGTTATTACATTAACTAGTTTTATTACTTAAAAAATTGAAAATGTATTAAAAATAGAAAAGTTATTACATTAACTAGTGTTATGACATTAGCCGTTGTTACAGCGGGCCCAGAAAATGTGTGCGGAAAAAGCCTAAACCGCTGTTATTGTGCTGTGTCCAGACCTACACAGGCTCTGTGCTGGTGGCAGTCAACCCCTACCAAGAGCTTCCTCTCTACACAGCCGACCAAGTGAGGCTGTACCATGGGCGTAGGCTGGGCGAGCTGCCCCCGCACGTCTTTGCCATCGCAGATACCTGCTACTTCAACATGCGCCGCCACAACCGAGACCAGTGCTGCATCATTAGGTGAGACCAAAAGTACATTTGTCCCAGACAGGCAACATTCCACTTTTGAAAGTCATTCAGTTGAACAAAAGGAAACCAAGGCAGAAGCGTCACATATTCCAATGTTGTGGACTATATTTGAAGATGCTCTTTGGAGGGGTTCAGTTTTACTTTTACATTGACAATTACACTGGAATTAAACTGAAATCCAAGAATATGACACACTGTCTCTTTCTACCTGTTAGTGGGGAGTCAGGTGCAGGGAAGACAGAGAGCACCAAGCTCGTCCTTCAGTTCCTGGCTGCAGTAAGTGGACAGCACTCCTGGATAGAGCAGCAGATACTGGAGGCTAACCCTATACTGGAAGGTAGGATCTCTTTACTATAACAATATCTCTCTCCCACATTATCCCAACTGTTGCTACTCATGACACACTTCTCATTTCTGCGTTCCCCCAGCATTTGGGAATGCCAAAACAATTCGCAATGACAACTCCAGCCGCTTTGGGAAATACGTGGAAATCTTCTTCAACAAAGGTGGCGCCATCGAAGGGGCTCGCATTGAACAGTACTTACTGGAGAAGTCTCGTGTCTGCCATCAGGTGGGGAAGCACAGGCTGTAAAATCAAAACAATTGGTGAACCAGGACGTTTTGCTGTTGTCCTTATATTTTAATGAAATGTAGAAATCTCATAGCTAATTGCCTCATAAAGTGAATTGCTTTCAAAACTGTGTAAACTATCTCTCGTAAACAACAGGTTTATCTAATTTAAGTCTCATTTACATGTTTTTGTTCGTACTTGGAAGAGGACCAAATCCATTGCTGGATTGTCCAGTAACCAGGCAAAATGGTGTAATGTCATGAGATCTTGATATCTGTAACACTACTGTTCATTTTCACTAATTAACCCTAGGCCACGGAGGAGCGGAACTACCACATATTCTACTGTATGTTAGCGGGGATGACGGCAGAACAGAAGAAAACACTGTGTTTGGGAAATGCCGCTGAATTCAGCTACCTCAAGAGGGTAATAGCAATGCACTACTAAAACATCATCACTTACAGGTTTTCTCACGTACAGTTATAAATCTACCTCATTAAGGACATTTTTACTGAGTACAACTAAGTAACTGACGTCCTCTTTACAACGCTCCTAGAAAACTGACCCAGAGCTGAAAAAAAACAGCCACAAATATGATTTGCTTTAGTATCACCAATGAAGAGAAAAATGGGTCGATAGTAGCTGTAATTAAGTAGAGAGATGGGGCGATAGCTATAACCTTTAACCTCTGACCCTGTGTTCTATAGGGTGACTGTATTGTCTGCAATGGACGTGACGATGCTAAGGACTACACCCGTATCCGCACGGCCCTGAAGATCCTCACCTTCACCGAGACCCACTGCTGGGAGATCCTCAAGCTGCTTGCTGCTCTCCTCCACCTGGGCAACGTCAGCTTCGAAGGTGAGGTCTTCTCCTGGTGTATGACTCAGTTGATGTCTGAGTGTATGATCTATGACCGTAGTTCTTAGGGAATATGACCTGCGCCTTGTCATCCCCCCACCAACCCCAATGGCCAAATGTATTGAGATCCTGAAATACTTGAATGTTGAGGTGTTTATGTTGTTGTTAGTTTTTTTTATGTGAAAGTTGTGATTGACCAAGTTTTATTTTGTTATTTGCCTTGCAGCCGCCATCTTGAATAACATGGAGAGCTCTGATGTCAGTTCATCGGATCACTTCACCCTTGTAGCCAAATTGCTGGAGGTATGTACAGTGCCTTCGGAAAGGATTCCGACCCCTTGACTTTTTCCACATTTTGTTAGGTTACAGCCTTATTCTAAAATTGATTATTGTATTGTTTTCCCTCATCAATCTACACACAATACCCCATAATGACAAAGCAAAAACAGGTTTTTAGAAATATCACATTTACATAATATAAGTATTCAGACCCTTTACTCAGTACTTTGTTGAAGCACCTTTGGCAGCGATTACAGCCTCGAGTCTTCTTGGGTACGACGCTACAAGCTTGGTACACCTGTATTTGGGGAGTTTCTCCCATTCTTCTCTGCAGATCCTCTCAAGCTCTGTCAGGTTGGATGGGGAGCATTGCGGCACAGCTATTTTCAGGTCTCTCCGGAGATGTTCGATCGGGTTCAAGTCCGGGCTCTGGCTGGGCCACTCAAGGACATTCAGAGACTTGTCCCGAAGCCACTCCTGCATTGTCTTGGTTGTGTGCTTAGGGTCGTCGTCCTGTTGGAAGGTGAACCTTTGCCCCAGTTGGAGGATCATCAAGGATCTCTCTGTACTTTACTCCATTCATCTGTGCTTAAATCCTGACTAGTCTCCCAGTCCCTGCCACTGAAAAACATCCCCACAGCATGATCCTGCCACCACCATGCTTCACCGTAGGGATGGTGCCAGGTTTCCTCCAGACGCGACACTTGGCATTCAGGCCAAAGAGTTCAATCTTGGTTTCATCAGACCAGAGAATCTTGTTTCTCATGGTCTGAGAGTCTTTAGGTGCCTTCTGGCAAACTCCAAACGGGCTGTCATGTACCTTTTACTGAGGAGTGGCTTCCGTCTGATCACTCTACCATAAAGGCCTGATTGGTGGAGTAACTGCAGAGATGGTTGTCCTTCTGGAAGGTTCTCCCATCTCCACAGAGGAACTCTAGAGCTCTGTCAGAGTGACCATTGGATTCTTGGTCACCTCCCTGACCAAGGCTCTTCTCCCCCGATTGTTCAGTTTGGCCGGGCGGCCAGCTCTAGGAAGAGTCTTGGTGGTTCCAAACTTCTTCCTTTTAAGAATGATGGAGGCCACTGTGTTCTTGGGGACCTTCAATGCTACATACATGTTTTGGTACCCTTCCCCAGATCTGTGCCTCGACACAATCCTGTCTCTGAGCTCTACGGACAATTCCTTCAACCTCGTGGCTTGGTTTTTGCTCTGACATGCACTGTCAACTGTGGGACCTTATATAGATAGGTGTGTGCCTTTCCAAATCATGTCCAATCAATTGAATTTACCACAGGTGGACTCCAATCAAGTTGTAGAAACATCTCAAGGATGATCAATGGAAACAGGATGCACTAGCTCAATTGCAAGTCTCATAGCAAAGGGTCTGAATACTTATGTAAATAAGGTATTTCAGTTTTTTATTTTTAATAAATGTGCAAACGTTTCTAAAACCTGTTTTTGCTTTGTCATTATGGGGTATTGGGTATAGATTGCTGAGGAATTTTTTTTTTGTAATGTGTTTTTGCTGGTATGTTCTGTAATAACATATACAGTACAGTTGATATATATTGTCTTTGTATGTTCCCTACAGGTGCAGCCTGCTGCTCTGGCTGTGAGCCTGACCTGCCGCTCCTTCATGACCAACAGAGAGCGAGTGTCCAAACCCCTCAACTCTGAACAGGCAGCCGACTCCAGGGACGCCTTCGTCAAGGTAATGAGGCCACTCCTGTTTGAAGGTACCAAGGCAAGATATACAGTAGGCTACCACCTGAAACAAGAGGGAAAGCATAAACATAAATATTCACAAAGGCACATAGACCCGAATCCTAACTTGAGATCCGTGTGCGAATGGACGTAACTCAAGTTTTCGCACAAGTCTTCCGTTGACATCAATACATGATTTGTTTGATTGTTGAGTTAAACATGCACATTTCAAGTTAGGATTTTGTCCATATTCTATTCAAGTGTACAGTATGTGTGTTGTTTGTGTCATGATTTCTTCAGGCGATATATGGCAAACTCTTCATCTGGATCGTTGGGAGAATCAACAGTGCCATCCATAAGACTCCTGCCAACGGTCCCAAATACGTCCGTAACTCCATCGGCTTGCTGGACATCTTTGGGTTTGAGAACTTCGACTCAAACAGGTATGCCAGTCAATATCAAATACTAATTTCCCTTGTCGTTTGTGAGTGCAACATACTCCTTGTATGTCCTTCATCCCTTCTCCCTGATGGCATATAACCAACCGGTCAATAACACAAACCTTTTCCCCATGTTTTTTCTCAGCTTTGAACAGCTATGCATCAACTTTGCCAATGAGCAGCTGCAGCAGTTTTTTGTGCGTCATGTGTTCAAGCTGGAGCAGGAGGAGTACACCAAGGAGGACATTGTTTGGAAGAACATCACCTTTAGCGACAACACAGAAACCCTTGATCTCCTCGCTGGGAAGCCCCTCAACGTGTTGGCCCTGATCGATGAGGAGAGCCACTTTCCCAAGGTCAACAATCTCAAATTCCTCTAGTCAACCATGTTGTGGTGGCAGTCTGAATTGGTGAGGTTTGTGACAACCTTGAATGTTTCTTCCAGGGCACAGATGTCACCATGCTGAACAAGATGAACCAGGTTCATGCAAAGTGCAACAAGTACATTCCATCCAAGAACACCCATGACATGGAGTTTGGGATCCGCCATTTTGCTGGGGTTGTTCACTACGACTCTAAAGGTAAACAGAAGAAAAAGGGATCACACCTATACAGCATTAGTTGATTCTCTCAAACATAGGAGTATGATCAATCAGATATTGGGGGGGGGGGGGGGGGCACCATTTGATCCTGTATGTTTTTCCTTCAGGATTCCTGGAGAAGAACAGAGATGCTCTTAGCTCAGACATCCTCAAGTTGATTGACACATCCACCAACAAGCTGCTGAGACAGATCTTTGAGAAGGAGCTCTCTGCAAATGTAGTGAAGAACCCTGCAAGCAACAACAGGATCGTTATGACACCCAAGAGCTCTCTAAGGGTTTGCAGCTGTTGTTACTATTAAGATTCTGACTCTCACGTCAACTCCCATTAGCTACATCCACCAAAAAACAAAGCTAAATTGCACTGTGGGAATTCCAGTTTCTTCACATGGCTTTCCTGCAGAGAAAGTCACTGACAATGGTAAAGAAGTCCACGCAGTTGACATTGTGATTTTTCTCCCCACAGGCGGCCCAGACGGACGGCAGGAGGCAGGTGTCCACGCTGAGCGGTCAGTTCCGCCAGTCCCTGGACTCCCTCATGAAGGCCCTGTCCATCTGCCAGCCCCATTTCATCCGCTGCTTCAAGCCCAACGACGATAAGAAGTCCATGGTGAATAAGGCAGCCATTTTGTAGCACTGGGCCAGATACAGGGAGACATGATTAATTGTTTTTATGGTGCAATGTGACAATCGGTAGAGGTTAAACTCACACCCATACGGAAAAAATATAGGGCGTTATACACAATGAAAATGGGACAATTCCACGAAAGTCAAATTTTTCCATACCACAGTGCACTCCGCTCTACTAGTCAAGCTTATGAAAGTCTCTGTCTTTTTCAGGTTTTTGACAGAGACCTGTGCATACGTCAGCTGCGGTATTCTGGAATGATTGATACCATCAAAATCCGGAAACTGGGATATCCGATCCGTCACACATTCAAGCAGTTTCTGCAGCGGTACAGAGTGCTTCTTAATACAACCGTCTGTGACCCCAAAATTGTGAGACGTATACCTTCATTATTTTGAAAATTATGCCGATGATGATGATGATGACATTTGTTAACACGAAAAGCTCCACGGTTACCATTGCTTTTAGTTGTGTGGTTATGGTTACCAATATCCTCCTCCCTCTCCTAACTCAGGAGTCAGCATCAGCCTGCTGTAATGCCATCTGCAAGGCCGTGATTACAGGACAGTACGACTGGAAGACCGGCAAGACTAAGATCTTTCTAAAGGTACAGTTATAACTAGCCCACTAGACAACCACAAACATTGGCACGTTGTGACAGTAGTGATGGAATCCCAAATGTCTGTCACAAGAAGCAATTCAAAGATGCTAGAATGATGTCGGTAACCCTATCCGAAAAGGTCCATATTCACCCTCTATAACCGGTTTTCACTTTCTTCCCATTCAGGATGCCCATGACTCCCTACTAGAGCGGGAGAGAGAGCGAGAGCTCAATAGGAAAGCCCTCATCATCCAGAGGGTCATGCTTGGCCAAAGAGACAGGTAAGGGAAGAACACTGAGACACACAGCTTGGGCAGAACACAGGATAGAGAATGACAGGCGACGTGTCATACCTGACACAGGGACCTTACATAGCACACTGGCAGTGGTTACTGACATGGTTTTATCTGTTATTCTTCAACACCCCAATCTAAAGCTTTACCCCAGAGTTACTTCAGTTGTACCTATTGTAATACAGTAGTTGTTAACAGTCGGTGATATTCCAGTTTTGTTGAAATGTATTCCTCTTGTAGAAAGAGCTTTGTGAAGAAAAGGAAAGCTGCCGTGGTTATACAGAAGCGATGGAGAGGTTACAAAGAGAAGAAAGAATACAGAAAAGTAAGTCACTGGCTGTCAAAGTCCACTAATATCACGTCAACATAAGCACGGTAAGGAGTCAAGTCAGATACACTTCTGAAGACAAATCTAGATGATATTGATTCATTGCCATAGCTTAGGAGTGCACATTGTGCTGATGGAGATTTGCTCATATATACTTTTTTATAGACTAGATCAACTTTGAACATATCTTTCGTGTTTCTCTCTTTTGCTCACATTTACCTGCTGCTTCTGGCATAATTTCTACTCCTCTCTGTCTCATTCAATCAGCTCCAGCGTGGCTTTGAGCGTCTGCAGTCTAAGATCCGTGGCCGTCTGGCCCGGGAGCATTACCTGAAGGAGCTGTCGGCGGCCGTCACCATGCAGTCCCAGGTGCGCGGGTACCTGGCCAGGAAGAGTTATAGGAGCAAGAGAGAAGCTGTGACAGTCCTCCAGGCCCACACCAGAGGCATGCTGGCTAGGAGGACCACCAACAAGATGAAGACAGATGTGAGTTATGACATTTGTGAAAAGTGCGTGTGTGGGTGTGTTCGCGCACCTGTGTGTGCAATTGTGTGAGTTCAATATATGTGTGTGTGTGTGTGTGTGTGTGTGTGTGTGTGTGTTAGGCCTTCCTATCTGCCCAGGAGCGTGAGGCGAGGGAGCGGACAGCCGCGGAGCTCCAGCGGAGGCTAGAGGAGGCCCTCAGCCAATCACAAAAGGCTGCTGCCAAGCCAGAGCCAGTCAGTGAGCAGGAAATGGTGGAAACCATGTTTGACTTCCTGCCCAACAAAGTGGCAGTAGGAGGACGGGAGGGACCAGCTCCAGAGGGCTTTGAGGTTAGGCTCACAACCAATGGTGGATCTCCATATTATATCAACATAGGCTTCTTACTCAATGATTAACACTGCTAATAGAATGACCAAATTCACCTAATCGTTTCTTCTCATTGAAGAAACATTATAATATTTTACTATTCTCTACAACTTAAAAAACGAACTGAGTATCCATCTGTACTCTCCCTACCCGTCCTCAGGACTTGGAGAGAACTCAGACCATCCCAGAGGTGATTGAGGAGAGCCAAGAGGAAAGTCCAGTAGAAACCCCAGCTCCTGTAGTAATACAAGTACCAGCACCAGCACTAGCTCGGACTGCACCAGCTCCAGAACCAGTACCAATCGCAGTACCAGTGGAGCAACCAGTGGTGGACTACAATGATGAGGATGAGGAGTTCTCCTTCACCACGTTCAGTGCTCTGCACTTCCAGGGCTCTGCTACCCACAGTCACATCACCCAGAGGCTGCGGCAGCCCCTGCTCTACCACGAGGACGAGGGAGACGCACTGGTGAGAACTCAATATCAAGCTTCAGTGATCTCAGTGGAATCCAAAGAAAGTATGACATTTTTCTTCCTCAAGAACATATTCCATATTTCCCTCTCATCTTTTCTCTTTGTGTACCCTACTTTCTCCTTTCCTTGTTCCCTTTCCTCTGCTTTCCTCACACTTTTTTTCTCCCTTTCTTTTCTCTTCCATTCCCCACGTTCTCCTCTGCTCCAGGCCTGTCTGACAGTGTGGTGGATCATACTGAGGTTCATGGGGGACATAGCTGAGCCAAAACTGATCAACCAGGAGCCCTCCACTCCCATCCAGAAGAACCTGGGCCAGAGGCAGAACAGGAGGCTCAGCAACCTGGTGGGCCTGGATCAGGTACTGAAGCCTTACTAGGACTTCACCTCAAACTCAATTCAACTTAGTTCAATATGCCGTCATTTTACATGCTTCCAATAGGTTACTGTTGTTACTGAGTTTTTGCTGACTGAATTGACACACTAACAGTTTGTCAGATGTCTAAATAGTCATATCCATTTTTCCATCAGAAAATACTAAGGAAAAACAGAAAGAAAGAAGGAATGGGGAATAGAAAAGCTTCGACCATTATAGAGGAGGTTTGTGACATACATATTATTTTGTCCTAAGAACTAAAACTAAGCTGAATATCCATAAATCAACAACACAGGATAATTGGCTCTTTGTGCTCCTCACCTCCTCCAGTCAGAGACTATGACAGAGGAGAAAGACATTCTGATTGGAGAGGGGCGCACTTTGGATCGGCCAATATCCGACCTTGAAAAACTGCACATTATTGTTGGATACGCCCTATCCAGACGTGATATAAGGTAACAAACCGAATTACAACATGTAAACAATGTTACCCAGTTATCAATGTCTAGAAAGGTGATTTGCTTTAATACCAAAACTGTTAAATTCATAACTGATAGAAGATTACAGCTACAGTTGAAATGGAAATTAATAGGATCCATCTAAACTGATAGATAGCTACTTGAGCCCTGTCTGTCCTTGTTTGTCCGTGTAGGGATGAGATCTACTGTCAGATCATTAAACAGCTGGTGAACAATAAGAACCAGACGAGTTCCCTCAGAGGCTGGGTCCTCCTCTCTATTTGTCTGGGTATCTTCCCCCCAACAGAACTCCTTATGCCGGTCAGTCTAAAGTTGACATTTGTTTACTTATGGCTATACTGTATGTCTTAAGGCGCTGTGTTTTTATGCATAATCGTACTGCATTTAAAATCCAGGCCCCCTTCAATTAATTACATACACTGTAATTATATTATGTTCTATTCTATTTGATTCTATTCCACAGTACCTGGAGAGCTTCCTGCGCAGAGGATCAAATAGCTACGGTCCGTACTGTGCTGAGCGCCTGCGTCGCATCGTGGCCAATGGGGAGCGAGGTGAACCACCCTGTTGGATAGAGCTCCAGGTAAGATACAACATCCATGACAGAGAGATACTCATCTGGCTGCATCACCCTTCTGACACAGAATTGGGGGGGTTCACCCTAGCCAATGAAGCTCAAATCTCTTGACGATGTTGCTAGGTGTGGACTACTGCTGCTGTTAAGCACTGTCAGCATTACAGGTCATGGACAATATTCTTGGCTCAGGTTTGGTAAGACAACAACACATTGACTGAAGCGGAAACATACTGGCACCCACACTATATGATGAGAGGTTGCATCAGTTCTGTGGGAGAAAGTTGCTCAACTACAGCTATATTAACCATTGTTAATATCTAACCTGTCAAATCAATCCATTCTCTGTTTTTGCTCTGCCGACATACCTTTATGCCGGCAGGTTCGACCTTGTGTGCAATTGACAAATAAAGCAATCTTAGTCTTAATCTTATGACAGTGACTGTATTAGTAAGGATATATATATACAGAGCATTATGTGTACTGTAGTAGTACATCATACTACAAGGACTACATATTACCATGCCTCCATCTTCTCATGTGTAGGCCGTCAAGACCAAGAAGACCACACAAGTGCTTGTGGCCTTGATGGACAGCCTTAGTGTCAGCCTGCCTGTAGACTCAGCCTGTACCTCTGCTGAGGTGTGCCAGGCTCTGGCCAAGAAAATCAACATCAAGGACATCTACGGATTCTCTCTCTACATCGGCTTCTGTGAGAAGGTGAAGGAAACCCCCAAGGGATTTGGGGATACCTAGCCATGCAACTAAAAGGAGTACATATTAACGAAGAAGAGACATGATGAATACAGCAGTGTCAATAGTTTTTCTTCTTAGTCGCATGGCTAGGGGATACATTACTGCGGTATCCTGGTACTGGGCATCGTGCCTTGTGTATTGAGAAATTGAATTTGCTTATTCATATTGTGTCAGTTGAATATTATGAAGGAACATTTAAAAAGGATTTTGAAATTAGTCTCGACATCATTTGACTACCATTTATTAGCATATGCGCTAGCTTTCAGAACTTGACTAACATTCACTTGCATTGACTAGCCCTGTGACATGTTCTGACATAGCCCTGTGACATGTTCTGACTAGCCCTGTGACATTTTTTGACTAACCCTGTGACATGTTTTGGCACTGTGCTGTTTCCAGGTGTGGTCCCTGGGCAGTGGCGGGAGACACGTGATGGACGCCATCTCGCAGTGCGAGCAGGAAGTGAGACGGAAGGGCGAGGAGGAGCAGCACGCCCCCTGGAGACTCTACTTCCGCAAGGAGCTGTTCACACCCTGGCATGATTCCTCGATAGATGCCGTCAGCACGGATCTCATCTACAAACAGATCATCAGAGGCCTCAAGTCTGGGGAGTACCATTCTGAGAAGGTGAGACGTTTTTGACAGTACACACACCTAAGAGTCCATCTACCCAGACAATGTGGATATCATATCACTGATACAGCAATGGTGTAATTGTGAAAGTGGCCTCCACATCTCTCTCTCTCTCTCTCGACTATGAACCAAGCATGGATCTTAGGAGTCATATTGTCTCACTGAACTCTATGTGAGAAATCATAAAATTACCACTATTGTTGAAAAATATTAAGATATAAAGACTGTTTGAAGTGGAGACTCTATTAACCAAAGACTGTCTTTCTTTATAATTGATAACAGATGTTTTTTTGTATTTTTGTCATCCAGGAGGATGACTTTGTCCAGCTGGCAGCAATGTACTACTATGTGACGTTTGGGTCTGCCAGCAGTGGAGAGAATGCCAAGAAGGTGGTGGAGGATTGCATCACTACTGAACTTATTGAGACCAAGTCTCAAGGAAAATGGATTCAGCTGGTCAACACAGCACACACACAGGTAAACTACTACTCACTGGTGCAACAAGTAATGGCCAGACAATTTGTATTATATCAAAAATTCCTGCAATTCAATTTGAATTAGTCTATGTTATCCCAATCAAGTATAGTAAAGTTAAGTAATGTAAAGCAAAGTAAATTAAAAAGTTAGGTTAAGTTAAGTTACTGTTAAGTTATGTAGAGTAGGATCCCAGGCTGTGTCACAGCCGGCCGTGACTGGGAGACCCATGAGGAGGCGCACAATTGGCCCAGCGTCGTCCGGGTTAGGGGAGGGTTTGGCCGGCTGGGATGTCCTTGTCCCATCGCGCTCTAGCGACTCCTTGTGGCGGGCCTGGTGCCTACAAGCTGACTTCGGTCGCCAGTTGTATAGTGTTTCCTCCGACACATTGGTGCTGCTGGCTTCCAGGTTAAGCAAGCAGTGTGTCAAGAAGCAGTGCGGCTTGACAGGGTCGTGTTTCGGAGGACGCATGGCTCTCGACCTTCGCCTCTCCCGAGTCCGTACGGGACAAAAAAACAAAAAATATATATAAATAAATTAACAAAAGTTATGTAGAGTAGAGTAGAATAAGGTTAATGCCAGACAAAATGTATCAACAAATAATGATCCTAATCATTCTTACAGGGTCCTTACATAAACAGCAGAAGGAGCACAGACAGCGTGAAGGGGGATGTGGTTGACTACGCTCGTCAGAAATGGCCCATCTTCTTCTCCAAGTTCTACGAGGTTACGCAAATGTCAGGTAAGTCTAACAGGAATATGTCTGCGTAATGTACCAGGTGAGGTTGGCTTCATTTCACATGGTGAACCTTTTAGTAGTTGGTTTACATCAGGCAAAAAAAATGTTTTGTTGTTAAAGACAATTTTATTACTAAGGTATTTACATATCCACAGGACCTCCTCTACCCAAAAGCAATTTTATTGTGGCCATCAACTGGAATGGGATCTCCTTCCAGGATGAGAAAGAGAAGAAGCTCCTTGAGCTGTCCTACCCAGAGGTGACTGGGGTGAACAAGTCCAGGTATGGACAGGTTACACCAAGGCCCTGTTCAAATATTTCCTTCCTTCCTTCCTTCCTTCCTTCCTTCCTTCCTTCCTTCCTTCCTTCCTTCCTTCCTTCCTTCCTTCCTTCCTTCCTTCCTTCCTTCCTTCCTTCCTTCCTTCCTTCCTTCCTTCCTTCCTTCCTTCCTTCCTTCAAGTGATCACTGATCTGTATTGGTTGGATTTGTGGAAGCAATAGAGTGATAATCTTACTTTCACCTATCCATTCACTATAGATCTGTATTTACTGTACCTCAAGGAAACAAGGAAGGATGCGTTTCTTAAGTATTCCAACAGGGCCCAGAATACATAGCCCAACCTAGTTTTATACAGTGGCAGTTTATTGTTCAATTGTCAAGTAGTGGTGGTCGTCACCGTTCACATACTCCCTCATACCGACATCCAATCCACCATGAAGTTATCACATACATTTCACGTGTTTCACATACACTTCACATATGTTTCACATACGTTTCATATGCTCCTCAGTGATGACGGCAGGATCGGCAGCAGTCAGTCTGTGAGCCTGGCCACAGTGAGAGGGCAGTTCCTACTGCAGTCTGTGGATGCAGGGGAGATGGCTGACCTGATCCAGTGGTACCTGGAGGGCCTGAGGCAGCGCTCCGTCTACGCAGTAGCCCTGCAGGACAACAACAAACAGGGTATGAGTATGACGATGAATCACTTCATCACTCACCTCACAGCTGAGATACACTGATTTTGGATAGGTTTGGCTGGGGTTAAGCTGTGTATCTCTGAACAAGGGGTTAGTTAGATTGATGTATTTGGCAGAATCATAGTACACTGCTCAAAAAAATAACGGGAACACTAAAATAACACATCCTAGATCTGAATGAATGAAATAATCTTATTAAATACTTTTTTCTTTACATAGTTGAATGTGCTGACAACAAAATCACACAAGAATTATCAATGGAAATCAAATGTATCAACCCATGGAGGTCTGGATTTGGAGTCACCCTCAAAATTAAAGTGGAAAACCACACTACGGGCTGATCCAACTTTGATGTAATGTCCTTAAAACAAGTCAAAATCAGGCTCAGTAGTGTGTGTGGCCTCCACGTGCCTGTATGACCTCCCTACAACACCTGGGCATGCGCCTGATGAGGTGGCGGATGGTCTCCTGAGGGATCTCCTCCCAGACCTGGACTAAAGCATCCGCCAACTCCTGGACAGTCTGTGGTGCAACGTGGCGTTGGTGGATGGAGCGAGACATGATGTCCCAGATGTGCTCAATTGGATTCAGGCCTGGGGAACGGGCGGGCCAGTCCATAGCATCAATGCCTTCCTCTTGCAGGAACTGCTGACACACTCCAGCCACATGAGGTCTAGCATTGTCTTGCATTAGGAGGAACCCAGGGCCAACCGCACCAGCATATGGTCTCACAAGGGGTCTGAGGATCTCATCTCGGTACCTAATGGCTGTCAGGCTACCTCTAGCGAGCACATGGAGGGCTGTGCGGTCCCCCAAAGAAATGCCACCCCACACCATGACTGACCCACCGCCAAACCGGTCATGCTGGAGGATGTTGCAGGCAGCAGAACGTTCTCCACGATGTCTCCAGACTCTGTCACGTCTGTCACATGTGCTCAGTGTGAACCTGCTTTCATCTGTGAAGAGCACAGGGCGCCAGTGGCGAATTTGCCAATCTTGGTGTTCTCTGGCAAATGCCAAACGTCCTGCACGGTGTTGGGCTGTAAGCACAACCCCCACCTGTGGACGTCGGGCCCTCATACCACCCTCATGGAGTCTGTTTCTGACCGTTTGAGCAGACACATATACATTTGTGGCCTGCTGGAGGTCATTTTGCAGGGCTCTGGCAGTGCTCCTCCTGCTCCTCCTTGCACAAAGGCGGAGGTAGCAGTCCTGCTGCTGGGTTGTTGCCCTCCTACGGCCTCCTCCACGTCTCCTGATGTACTGGCCTGTCTCCTGGTAGCGCCTCCATGCTCTGGACACTACGCTGACAGACACAGCAAACCTTCTTGCCACAGCTCGCTTTGATGTGCCATCCTGGATGAGCTGCACTACCTGAGCCACTTGTGTGGGTTGTAGACTCCGTCTCATGCTACCACTAGAGTGAAAGCACCGCCAGCATTCAAAAGTGACCAAAACATCAGCCAGGAAGCATAGGAACTGAGAAGTGGTCTGTGGTCACCACCTGCAAAACCCGTCCTTTATTGGGGGTGTCTTGCTAATTGCCTATAATTTCCACCTGTTGTCTATTCCATTTGCACAACAGCATGTGAAATGTATTGTCAATCAGTGTTGCTTCCTAAGTGGACAGTTTGATTTCACAGAAGTGTGATTGACTTGGAGTTACAGTGGGGGGGAAATTATGGTGGAAAATAAGTATTTGGTCAATAACAAAAGTTTCTCAATACTTTGTTATATACCCTTTGTTGGCAATGACACAGGTCAGGCATTTTCTGTAAGTCTTCACAAGGTTTTCACACACTGTTGCTGGTATTTTGGCCCATTCCTCCATGCAGATCTCCTCTAGAGCAGTGATGTTTTGGGGCTGTCGCTGGGCAACACAGACTTTCAACTCCCTCCAAAGATTTTCAATGGGGTTGAGATCTGGAGACTGGCTAGGCCACTCCAGGACCTTGAAATGCTTCTTACGAAGCCACTCCTTCGTTGCCCGGGCGGTGTGTTTGGGATCATTGTCATGCTGAAAGACCCAGCCACGTTTCATCTTCAATGCCCTTGCTGATGGAAGGAGGTTTTCACTCAAAATCTCACGATACATGGCCCCATTCATTCTTTCCTTTACACGGATCAGTCGTCCTGGTCCCTTTGCAGAAAAACAGCCCCAAAGCATGATGTTTCCACCCCCATGCTTCACAGTAGGTATGGTGTTCTTTGGATGCAACTCAGCATTCTTTGTCCTCCAAACACGACGAGTTGAGTTTTTACCAAAAAGTTATATTTTGGTTTCATCTGACCATATGACATTCTCCCAATTCTCTTCTGGATCATCCAAATGCACTCTAGCAAACTTCAGACGGGCCTGGACATGTACTGGCTTAAGCAGGGGGACACATCTGGCACTGCAGGATTTGAGTCCCTGGCGGCGTAGTGTGTTACTGATGGTAGGCTTTGTTACTTTGGTCCCAGCTCTCTGATGGTCATTCACTAGGTCCCCCCGTGTGGTTCTGGGATTTTTGCTCACCGTTCATGTGATCATTTTGACCCCACGGGGTGAGATCTTGCGTGGTGCCCCAGATCGAGGGAGATTATCAGTGGTCTTGTATGTCTTCCATTTCCTAATAATTGCTCCCACAGTTGATTTCTTCAAACCAAGCTGCTTACCTATTGCAGATTCAGTCTTCCCAGCCTGGTGCAGGTCTACAATTTTGTTTCTGGTGTCCTTTGACAGCTCTTTGGTCTTGGCCATAGTGGAGTTTGGAGTGTGACTGTTTGAGGTTGTGGACAGGTGTATTTTATACTGATAACAAGTTCAAACAGGTGCCATTAATACAGGTAACGAGTGGAGGACAGAGGAGCCTCTTAAAGAAGAAGTTACAGGTCTGTGAGAGCCAGAAATCTTGCTTGTTTGTAGGTGACCAAATACTTATTTTCCACCATAATTTGCAAATAAATTCATTAAAAATCCTACAATGTAATTTTCTGGAAATGTTTTTCTCAATTTGTCTGTCATAGTTGACGTGTACCTATGATGAAAATTACAGGCCTCTCTCATCTTTTTAAGTGGGAGAACTTGCACAATTGGTGGCTGACTAAATACTTTTTTCCCCCACTGTACATTGTGTTGTTTAAGTGTTCCCTTTATTTTTTTGAGCAGTGTATATGAACAGACAGTGTATGAATATGACAACTCACTTTCTCACCTCATTACTGAGGTTCATCTATTTGGACCATTCATATACAATAGGCGTTTTTGGCTGGGGATCAGCATGACCAATATGGTTCCTCTTATGTACGTGGGTGACTTACTTATGTCTCTCTCGCTCTCTCTCTCTCTCTCTCTCTCGCTCTCTCGCTCTCTCTCTCTCTCTCTCTCTCTCTCTCTCTCTCTCTCTCTCTCTCTCGCTCTCGCTCTCTCACACTGCAGACGACCCCACGTTGCTGAGCTACAAGAGAGGGGATGTGCTGGTCATCGTGAAGGACGGAGAGTACTCCCCCGACCGGGGCTGGATCAAAGGCACTAACGAGCGCACTGGGAACACCGGCGCCATCTCCATGGATACCGTCCTGGTTCTGCCAACCCTTGAAAAGCCCAGTGATACCACACTGGTAAGATCATAGTGCCAATGGGGATGTGCAAGGGTGAATTATAAGATTCTTATATATAAGGTAATAATGGCACATGGCTGCATTCCATTCCAGATAGTTGTCCATTGAACTGCTGTCTGTCATTCCCCTGTAGAGATGAGAAAGGAAAAACACTATAATGGATCCTTGGTGGAGTACACCTAAACCTAACCAGTTGGAATGCTGCCCATATGTTAGGGATGGGCAGACTTGTTACATTGTTACACTTACGGTGGGGCAAGTCCACATCATGTCCAGTTCCCATTCTTAGGAGGATTGCGGCAGGGGAAGACTACTCTCTTGGGGTCGTACTAACGTTGTGTTTTTGTTTGGTTGAACCATCAGAGTCTGCTGAATCTGAGCCCAGACCAGAAGAGGACAGTGGCTCAGAACACCTCCGCGAGGGAAGAAGCAGTCTCGCCCGTCTCACTGAAAGAGTTCGCCCTTGAGTACTTTAGGTAGAGAAAACCCTTCAATAAATCCACTCAAAATCCACTCTCACCTTTTATTTCAATTACAGATGCAACCACTGACTTCAATAACCATTTCAAATGTAATAATAACCATGACGGTTTAACAAATGAGTATTCCAATGTTACAGTAATCTGACCAATTATCTCACTACTACATTTTGCATGGTTTACAGTCTTTTTTACGGTTACACTTTATTCTTAAGACAGCAACTTAACTTTGTTTTCTTTATTTCCCCCAGGCAGCCTGGTAAAGAGGGCGGCCGTGGGGCGCACGCCAAAGGGGCAGGCAGGGAGAAACTGTGGGCTGCATCCAAAGAACCCATCAAACAGCCCCTACTGAAGAGTCTGGTGGACAACACCGACCTCAGCCATCTGGCCTGCATCTCCTTCACTGATATCCTTTACTCAAATACTTTATTTGTTAAAGGGGAAGTTCAGGATTTTACAACTTGATGTTAGATGGTTTCTCACCCTGAAAGTAGCCTATGGGCCACGAGAAACTGTAATCCATGGTTCAGTTTTCTTTAAACAGCCACTACAAACTTAAGCTAACTTTAGCCACCACTAGCTACCAATCAATTGAAATGATAGGTTCTTGTTTTTTTTAAATGGCCAAATCACATATAAAGGTCCAGTGCAGTCAAAAATGTGATTTTCCTGTGTTTTATATATATTTCCACATATGAGGTTGGAATAATACTGTGAAATTGTGAAAATTATGATAATGGCCTTTTAGTGTAAGAGCTGTTTAAAAGGACCGCCTGAAATTTCATCCTGTTTTGGTGGGATGGAGTTTTATCCTGCATCGCGACATCACCAGGTGGTATAAGTTAATAGACCAATAACAAAGAGAGTTTCAAACCTCTCTGCCAATAACAGCTAGTTTTCAGGTTACATATCCCTCCTTTTAGGCTCATCATATTCGACCCCTCACTCAAACCACTCCCAGACATCCCTAGCAAAGTTCTTGCTTGAGAAATGGCTATTTGCAAAAAACTATTTTTGTTTCTTTTTGACCATTTTAATTGAAAACAATCACAGTAAGTTACTTAAGTGTTACCCAGAAATGATTTGATATTGAGAAAAAAATATCTGCAAGGACCTTTAAATCTGGAATCATTAATGGTAAAACTACCATGTCTGTTTGTGACATTACAACAACAAAGAAGTTACTGCAAACCACAGACACTGTTTTTCCCCCCATCAGATATCATTGCACGTGCGATAGAACAGCAGCATATGTACTACATTTTTTAAAAACCTTGATGCATGACGCTCCCCATCTGTGCTTCATCAACAAAACTAAAAAATAACAATGGCCGTGGGGCGGACAGTGGCGCTGTTTCCCCCTTCCGTGGATTCCACCTTTGAGTAACATCAAACAAAATATGGAGTTGAGTTGAATTGATTTGGCCATTACATTTTGCCAATTGCACACATTCCCCTATCTCTACCATAGATTTTTAGCTAGCAGTGGCTAAACTCATCTGAAATTTGTTGTGGCTGTTTAGAGAATACCGAACCATGGATTACAGTTTTTCCTGGCCCATAGATTACTTTCAGGGTGAGGAACCATCTAATATCAGGTTTTAAAATCCTGAACTACCCCTTTAATTTAGGGCCATTTGTTGATGTTCATATTGATATTGAGGCTAACACTGGAGGAGTTTTAGTTGTTGAAGAAGACACTAGAGAGTGATTATACCTGTGTTTATTAGTACTGAATACCTTTAAAAGTGAATAAAAATAATAATAATTCAATGGAGTAGCCTTCACCGAATTACCCTACAAAAATGTATTTCCAAGTGGAGTTTTCCTGTTGTCCTTAACCTTTCCCTCACCTATCCTAAAGTACATGGGAGATTACCCTATCAAACAGGTGCACCAGCCCATAGAGCTGACTGACCAGATCTTTGGCCCAGCCACTCAGCATGTGCCTTTACAGGACGAGGTCTACTGCCAGATCATGAGGCAGATGACCAGTAACAACAGCAGGTATGTGTGGTAATGGGCAACAATATACTGTCATGTCAGCTATTGCACATGTATTACTAGGAAATAATCATCTATATATGCATGTATGATGTTCTATTTTTTATTCTATGATGAAAATGCTCTCTCTCCCTTTATTGCTATCTTTCCCTTCTCTCCCCCCTTCTCTCTCTACTCTCTTCCCTCTCTCTCTCACCCCTCCCCATTTTTTCCATCTTCCCCTTCCCTCTCCCTCCCTCCCTCCCTCCCTCCCTCCCTCCCTCCCTCCCTCCCTCCCTCCCTCCCTCCCTCCCTCCCTCCCTCCCTCTCTCAGGATGAGTGTAGACTATGGTTGGCAGCTCATGTGGCTGTGCACTGGCCTCTTCCCCCCCAGTCAGTCCCTGCTGAGGTACACCCAACGTTTCCTAGAGTCACGGCCCAGAGAGCCCCTGGCTGCAGACTGCCTGCAACGGCTACAAATGCTGCTCAGGTAGGGCTCCAAAACACACTGTAGGGGGCGACTGGGACTCGAACCAATGCCACTGCGAATCCAACACCTAAGCCAAGTTACCAAGAGGTCTCAATCTGAATCTCTTGGACAAGGTTGCTGGTGTTGTGAGGTGTTACGTACAAAAATTAGTGGGGGGAAATAAACGCTATCGTTCTCTTGTTGTAGTATGGAGCCCAGGAAGCTGCCTCCCCATCAGGTGGAGGTGGACGCCATTCAACAGAACAGCAACCAAATCTTCCATAAAATCCACTTCCCCAATGACTCAACTGAGGTGAGCCGCATGCTTCCATAATACTTGTTTAATATAGTTATCTTATGTCTATCACAATATAATGTATCTTTGATGTTTGTGTTACTCCTTTATTTAGCTCTTCGAGGTGACTTCAACAACTAGGATTCGTGACCTCGTTCGTAACATTGCCTACAAGCTCATTCTGGCCTCAGCTGACGGTTACAGTCTCTGCATGAAAACGACAAACAAGGTTGAATTCAAGTTCTTATCACAACTTTTGGGGAAAAAAACATTTTCAAGCCACTGCTTTAGTTTATTTTGGTAGTGCAAATGAATGTACGTAAATGTTTTCTTGCTTTGTTGCTTTCAGGTGATAAGCTTGGAGGACCAAAACTACTTCTTTGACAGTTTGAGGCAGACCATAGGCCAACCTAAGAAAACAAAGAAAGTCAGAGAGGCAAAAAAAGGTGGTAAAACTGAAGGTAAGGCACAGTATTGAATTGAACAGATACAATGAACATGCATCCACCAAATTGGCAGTGCATTAAGATGGTAGCACAAAAAAACTAACAGGCAAAAGCATAACATAATGTATGCAAAATATCAAAGTAAACCCTTACACCCACCAAGTTGTCAGTGGATTGAAACGTCTATGCTATGCTATGCTATGCTAGAGGGTCTGAGGATCACTGTTTTTCAGGAGCTCCAGCCACCATGCCCTACCTGGTCATCTTCCTGAGGAAGCTGTGGTTCAACGTGACCCCAGGAAGAGACCTGACCGCTGACCTTACTTTCCACTTCCCACAGGTCGAGCAGAAAACACACATACACATACGTGCACACACAAACACGCACGCACGCACACACACCCACCTAGTTCTTCACCACCACTCATACACAAACCTCTCCCCCTCAGGAGTTGCCAAAGTACCTGCGTGGCTACCACAAGTGTACCAAGGAGGAGATGATCAGCCTGGCTGGCCTGCTGTTCAGGGTCAAGGTGGACACGGACAGGTCCCAGTTTGTCATGATTCCCAGGATGCTGAAGGACCTGGTGCCAGCTGATGGGATGAAAACCATGTCCCCAGAGGACTGGAAGAAGGTAGGAGGAGAAGGAGAAGGAGGAGTAGGAGGAGGAGGAAGAGAAGGAGGAGGAAGAGGAGGAGGAGGAGGAGGAGGAGGAGATAACACAAATAGGACTTTTATTTATATCTATTGTACACTGCTACACTGTCAGTCCTTCTCATGTTATTTTGTTTATATGATATTTGGCGTGCATCTCTTACTCTCTCCATTACTAAGCTCATTCCAATAAAGGATTCTTTCTGCAATTAGAACTGCCATCATGACCTCAAGTCTAGTTATTTAGCCACTACCCCAACAGTGTATTAATGGTGCATCATTATGACAAATATTTTGTCCAGATTCTATCATACATATGTCAATGATTGAAAGCATATAGTAATAAAGAAATACTGAAACTCGTATTTCTGAATCTTTCTGTTGTTTTCTTCTTCCCTTATAGCACATCATCTCCTCCTACAACAAGCAGGCCGGGATCACCTTGGATGAGGCTAAAGTGGCCTTTCTAAAAGGCATCTGCCACTGGCCGACGTTTGGCTGTGCTTTCTTTGAAGTAAAGGTATGTTAGGAGACAGCTCAAGTCAAGGTAGCTTAGCGGTTAAAAGTGTTGGGCCAGTAACTGATAGGTTGCTGGTTCAAATCCCTGAGCTGACTAGGTGAAAAATCTGTAAATGTGCCCTTCAGCAAGGCACTTAACCCTTGTCGCTCTGGATAAGAGTGTCTGCTGTAAATGTAAATATGGAAAGGAATGTAAATACGAAAATGATGCATGTTGACACATCAAACTTCGCATGCCAATGTTCACTTTCTGTATGCTCTTGCTTCACAGCAAACCTCTGAACCGAGTTACCCGAGTATTGTCCAGATTGCAATCAGCAAGCAAGGAGTCAACTTTATAGACCCCAAAACAAAGGTAAAAGCACCATAGTTTTATATGATTATTTAGATTTTATCACCATTATCAGTTAATTTTACTTACATCTAGAGGGCATTTACTGCCAGATGGTCATATACAGTAACTATGCTGACCTTAACTGCACTTTCTGAAATGCTTACATGTGAACTCCATACGCTTCACCACAACATCAAGCTAAGATCCCACTTCTGCCACCATCAGCACTATAAAGTATTGACCTTCCCTGTTTAACCAAACATGACCTTTTGGTCTTACCCTAACCTCAGGAGTTGCTGGTCATGCACCCATTCAACCGCATCACCAACTGGTCTAGCGGGAGCACCTACTTCCACATGACCATTGGCAACCTGGTCAAAGGGAACACTTTCCTTTGTGAGTCCTCATTGGTAAGTGGCCATTACGTCTTCACTCTCAAACGAGAGGCAAAATGAAAGATGTTACCTCCTATAAACCAGTACATTTACATTTTGTGTGAATCCAAAGTGCTGATAGTGTTTGTTGAGGGCGTACTAAATGACCTTCCCAAACACTTGTATTGTAGTGACTTATTCACTAGAGAATGTGATGTAACTTTGCCTCAATGTGCACACCCCAACAACTGTATTTGTCTCTCCTCTTCAGGGTTACAAAATGGATGACCTTCTATCATCTTATGTGAACATGTACGAGATGCAGAGGCAGGCTGTGCGACCCAGAAATAACTCCATGTTCCCTACCTAATGCCAGTTGGGAAATAGGGAGGACAAGGCAGATTAATTTATAAAACAGTAAACCAAGCATGAAGGGAAACCCACTTGTCATTTGATGGAGGGATTACTTTTCAGTTGGTCTAAACCCCTTTGCATAGCTTTGTAATGGTTGCCATATTGAATTGGCACTGTGCCTTGTATTGTGTTGTGTGTAAAAGAGATCTCATAACAATTTTGAATACCGGTATCCACAGCGTGGAACTAGACAAAAATGGAAAATCATGTGTATATACAAACAAGACTTGCCTCACAGAACAAAACTAATAAAGCATTTTTGAAATATGAGATGGCAGCTCATGTTGTGTATGTGCATAAATTGAAGTTTTTTTTATTTAAATGTTGTCATGTCTCTCCTGACTGAGGATCAAAGGACTCAGATCAGCTTGGCAAATGGTTGACAACAACCAGACCCTCTCACCCACAGGAGAGGGGAAGGGGGGGCTGGGCCGGTTTTGACACCTTAACACTGGGTCGTAAATTAGGGGTAATTTCTCTCCTACTCTCCAGTATTGGTAAAGGAATGTGCTTTGTCTCCAGAAAACATTTACGTCCAAAAAGTCAAATATTCCTAACATCCGAATGTTTGGAATGGTCAGTGGGGATAATAAATAATTATTTTGTGATGTCATTAAGGATGGTATCAATAAATACAGTTGAAGTCGGAAGTTTACATACACCTTAGCCAAAATCCTTTAAACTCAGTTTTTCACAATTCCTGACATTTTTAATCCTAGTAAAAATTCCCTGTTTTAGGTCAGTTAGGATCACCACTTTATTTTAAGAATGTGAAATGTCAGAATAATATTATTTATTTAAGCTTTTATTTTTAAATCACATTCCCATTGGGTCAGAAGTTTACATACACATAATTAGTATTTGGTAGCATTGCCTTTAAATTGTTGAATTTGGGTCAAACGTTTCGGGTAGCCTTCCACAAGCTTCCCACAATAAGTTGGGTGAATTTTGGCCCATTCCTCCTGACAGAGCTGGTGTAACTGAGTCAGGTATGTAGGCCTCCTTGCTCGCACACGCTTTTTCAGTTCTGCCCACAAATTTTCTATAGGATTGAGGTCAGGGCTTTGTGAGGGCCACTCCAATACCTTGACTTTGTTGACCTTAAGCCATTTTGCCACAACTTTGGAAGTATGCTTGAAGTCATTGTCCATTTGGAAGACCCATTTGCGACCTAGCTTTAACTTCCTGACTGATGTCTTGAGATGTTGCTTCAATATATCCACATAATTTTCCTTCCTCATGATGCCATCTATTTTGTGAAGTGCAGCAGTCCCTCCTGCAGCAAAGCACCCCCACAGCATGATGCTGCCACCCCCGTGCTTCACGGTTGGGATGGTGTTCTTCGGCTTGCAAGCCCACCTTTTTCCTCCAAACATAACGATGGTCATTATGGCCAAACAGTTCTATTTTGTTTCATCAGACCAGAGGACATTTCTCCAAAAAGTACGATCTTGTCCCCATGTGCAGTTGCAAACCGTAGTCTGTTTTTTTATGGCGGTTTTGGAGCAGTGGCTTCTTCCTTGCTGAGCGGCCTTTCAGGTTATGTCGATATAGGACTCGTTTTACTGTGGATATAGATACTTTTGTACCTGTTTCCTCCAAAATCTTCACAAGGTCCTTTGCTGTTGTTCTGGGATTGATTTGCACTTTTCGCACCAAAGTACGTTTATCTCTAGGAGACAGAACGCGTCTCCTTCCTGAGCGGTATGACGGCTGCATGGTCCCGTGGTTTTTATACTTGCGTACTATTGTTTGTACAGATGAACGTGGTACCTTCAGGCGTTTGGAAATTGCTCCCAAGGATGAACCAGCCTTGTGGAGGTCTACAATTTCTTTTCTGAGGTCTTGGCTGATTTCTTTTGATTTTCCCATGATGTCAAGCAAAGAGGCACTGAGTTTGAAGGTAGGCCTTGAAACAACTTAGTGTATGTTAAACTTCTGACCCACTGAAATTGTGATACAGTGAATTATAAGTGAAATAATCTGTCTGTAAACGATTGTTGGAAAAATTACTTGTGTCCTGCACAAAGTAGATGTCCTAACTGACTTGCCAAAACGGTAGTTTGTTAACAAGAAATTTGTGGAGTGGTTGAAAAACGAGTTTTAATGACTCCATCCTAATTGTATGTAAACTTCCGACTTCAACTGTACCTGTATCTCGGAAAGCGTACACATTCTATTTGTCAACTTTACATCTAAATGTTGTATAAAATATATGATTAAGTATGAGAGTATTTGGTGAAAATAGGAATGTGATTTTAGTCATCTAATGAGATAATTGTTTTTCAAATAAAATTTTGCCCAGTCAGTAACCACGCCCCAAGTGAGCACAGACATTGTGTCGGCGTGATGGAACGCCCCCTTTTCCCCCGAGGATAAAAAGCCTTGGTAACGATATTCACATCAGACGTGAGGCGTGAGCTAAACGTTACAAATGGTTGAGACTCTCAGACCAGAACATTGCCGGGTTGCTACTGGCGTGTAAAATGGTGGGAAACTCTGAAACTCTCAACCTCTACACGAGGTGAAGAAGAAGATAAACGCACCTTAGCTTTACCAGTCTGCAGCTGTACATGTAAAGTAGTCTAGAACTTTGAATAAAGACACAAGGTGGGAAGAAAGGAGAATCCCATCTCAGACGACCATTAGTGCATCTGAAGTATCTGTTCTAACAAACACTTCACTACCAGAGAAGCTCTTCAAAGAAGAAGGACATTGTGACCTCTAGTGGACAAGCCAAGCCTTACACCGAACATGACACTAAAGCCAACGACCCCCCTTTCCCATAGAAGGATCGATCGAGTCCAACAGAGATAGACGACGAGCAAAGACATATACACGTAAATGTATACATTACATTTGTTATCCGAATGGGCGGTGGTTAGGGTGCTAAGTATTCTGATTTCTGTGAGCGCAGTTTCCAAATGTATCAGCGATAAATTTTAATCTCTCTTCATCTCCCTCTCCCTCTCTCTTTCTGACCCCTCCCATTTGATAACCAAGCAGTCATACTGTTGTTAGTATACTACTGACCTTTTTCCGTTGTATTACATTTCTAATCAATAACCTATACCGTGTGTGTGTGTGTGTCTATGTATTCTGTGTTATTGTTTAGTTAGCTAGTAAATAAATAATTAAGCTCATTTGTGTATTACTGATTCATAAGTAAGGTTAGGGTTCTTGCAGATATCAAGGAGTATGCGACCTTCAGAATGAGACTTATATGAGGTAGTGATTAATAAGTGACTGTTATCGATATATAACATATATATATTTTAGAGTTAAATTCGGGAGATGGTAGCTCTATAAACAACTTCTTCCATGGTGCCCCAAATCCTAATGAGTTAATTGTTACATTATTAATTTAATCGAGTAACAATTAAACATAGTTAGTTGATTCGATAAATAACAGTCTTCATATTAATGAAAGTCACATCAATGTTATACTTTTTCTATTGGCCCATCCACCACCTCTTCAGAGGACAAAAGTTACTTTTGTTTTTGTTTTTACAGCTTTTTTGTTGCATATACATTTTACACACATTTGACATACATGGTACCTTTATACACAGTAGTTACATAACAAATATATAGTTTTTTATATATACACATTACATTTAGGATAGCTGGTACTCAGACATCTCCGGTATACATTATATATTGTGTTTTCAGTAATAACTATTACCGATCATGAGCTTTTTAATCCCACTCCTCAGCTCCTCTCATTTTTTGCCAACGAAGTCCTTAGACATATTAATGTTGACATGGAGGTCCAAATAAAGCTGAGGCCAAGTGGTTAATTTTAGGGAAGAGGTTGTTGTTAAGAAGTGGCAGGAGATGTGGAATTCGGGGTGGACTGGCCGTAAGGCAGTTCAGGCAAATGCTAGATGAGCTGGTCCATTTTTATCCTAGTGGGCCAGTCTAAATTGTTTTTTTTTAACATTATTATAATTATTTGGCTAATAATGGGGGCCTTAAGGCAGGTGTGGGGGCCTTGAGGGAAGGAATGGGCAAGTGTGTTAGAAATGCCCGGGCCGATTTCTGGTCTCAGTCCACCCCTGTGTGGAATAAAGAGGGAAAGGGCTGACATCTTTATAAGATCCAGGGAAAGATGGGGGCAGGGAGGTCCTCAGGTAGACAGAAGGGAGACCATAATTTCTAGGCCAAGACTGGATCATATTAGGTTGAAAGCATAGGCAGCACCCAACTAGGAGGTGAGATTATTGCCAGGAGGTGGAGACAGTGGAACATGTCAGGAGGGAAAGGGAGAGTTTCCTGGTGAGTTGAACAGCATTCAGGAGGCAGATATGAAAGAGATGCTTAGTAAACCACCGGATATGTGATTTATATATTTAAATGTAGTTTTCTTAGGGAGTTGGTGGGCGCAGAGTTCTAACACCATATCGGCAAGGTTTCTTCCCTGCCACTAGTCCACACTCCAGTCCAGTAGGGGGGGTAAATAATTTACCATTTAAATTGCCAACTGCCATTAAAACCCACAGAAGAAGAAGAACACAAGTAGATTGGAGGCGAGTTTGCTTGGATTTTGAACATTCATTGTTTGTTTTTTCGTTTGGGCAAAAGTCCGTCCTCCATTCTCTCTCCTCTGTGACCTGGAAACTGATAAGTGGTCAAGTGGTCGAGGAGTGTGTCAATTCGTTAGTAGGCAAACGGACAACGGTCCTCCCCTCCTCGATATCCTCCTTTTGGCGAGGAAGCACAAGTGTATCCTACCAGAGTCCTTCACAGAGTTTTGAAATCTGCCTTTGAATCAGCTATTGTTTCTTGAAGGAGAAAAGCATGCAAACTGTTTCAAACAATATGCTACTTTATCCTTTTATCTATAAAATGTCTTACATAACTAGCTACATTTGTTTAGATTTTTTTTAAATGTATTTTGGGATTCCACCTTGTAAATGTAATTTGCCTGATGATGTGCGATTGGAAGTGCATTTTCGGTCACTTTCCCTCTCTTCGCCACCTCTCCTCGATTACCTTTGACCTTTTTCAAAAGGAGACCAGAGGACGGAGGAGAGAGGATGCAAGTTGATCAAATATAATTGAGAAAAGGCCCTTGTGGACTACGCCTGCCTGAAATATATAACCTGATTTGCTAACATTCCACTCCTTGTACTCAATGTCATTGCTAAACATGACAAGGAGTGGCAAGGAGTGGAGTCAAAGTTAAACAGACTGGTACTAAATACCAGCTGAATACCCCTCTCAGTCCACTGTCTGAAAATGTCTAAATTACAGTCATTGCATGTGTTTTTCAATTAGCAGTTATCAGCAGCTGCCGTTGAGATTTTTGGGGCACTTGAGAAAGCAGTAGAGGAATACCAGGAGGAAAATGATCAGCTATATATGTCATCTACTAATGCAGCTAGCTGCAGTTCTACTCAATTAATAAAGTGTTTAGGAAATATGTTTTAATCTGTGTTAATTGTTTGAGTCAGGAACAGCGTTTTGAAATGTCATGGCACTAGGCAATAGGCAATAAGCCAGGGAATGTCTAAGCTGTAACATACTCGATAGACCTCTGTTCCTCTCTACTTCCTTCCAGACACCCTGCAGCTCTCTCTTCCTGTCTCTGAAGAGGAGGTTCCCCCTGAACAGCAGCACCGTGAGCAGGAGTGGAGCCATGTCTAAAGACTCACAAATGCCTTGACCGTGGTAAATGCTTCTCTCAGATTGGACAGCTAAAGATGGACATGAGGATTCACAGAGGGGAGGGAATCTATCGCTGCCATGACTGTGGAAAAACGTTTGCTCTGAAAATTGACCTGCATAGGCATTTTACTGAATGCCGCTTCTGCAAAAGGCGCTACAACACCTGTAAACTAAAGACCCTGCCCCACTTGTGGCAAGACCTTCAAACACAAAGGAAATTTGTCCAAACACATGATGATTCACACAGGTGAGAACCCATTTAGATGTGGTGACGGTGGAAAAAGCTTCAATCGCAAGGAAAAGCTGAAAGCACATACACTGAGTGTACAAAAAAATAGGAAAACCCTATTTTTCCATGACATAGACTGACCAGGTGAATCCAGGTGAAAGCTATGATACCTTATTGATGTCACCTGTTAAATCTACTTCAATCACTGTAGACAGGTTAAAGAAGGATTTTTAAGCCTTGAGTCAATTGAGACATGGATTGTGTATGTGTGCCATTCAGAGGGTGAATGGGCAAGACAAAAGATTGACTTGTCTTTGAACGGGGTATGGTTGTAGGTACCAGGCGCACCGGATTGAGTGTGTCAAGAACTACAATGCTGCTGGATTCTTCACACTCAACAGTTTCCCATGTGTATCAAGAATGGTCCACCATCAAAGGGACATCCAGCCAACTGGACACAACTGTGGGAAGCATTGGAGTCAACATGGGCCAGCATCCCTGTGGAACGCTTTCAACACCTTGTAGAGTCCATGCCCCGACGAATTGAGGCTGTTCTGAGGGCAAAAGGGTGCAACTCAATATTAGGAAGGTGTTCCTAAGGTTTTGTACACTCAGTGTCTACGGATCCACACAGGTGAGAAAGCTGTGGTTACTGTGGAAAAAGCTTCAATCATAAGGAAAACCTGAAAACACATATACATAATCGCTCATATACAGATAAATCCCTTTAGCTGTGGTGACTGTGGGAAAAGCTTCAATGACAATGAGAACTTAACCGAACATCTTCTGACCCAAACAAAAGTTTTGGGAAAAGTTTCCATCAGAAGGGGACTTTAACCATTCGTATACGGATTCACTCAGCGGATAAATGACATGTCTGTGGTAGCAGATTCAACCAGAAGAGTGACCTGCTAAAGTTTTTGAATAACATCCACAAAGAAAGAGAACTGGACAGAAACAGAAACAATACAGAAGATAAGGACAAAGATATATCTAAGATGGGAATAAGGCAGGATGTGGACAATGCTTTTAAGAAAGAAAACCAACTTTTTGAATGACAGAGAGAGGAAATATGGAGGGAGGCTCACTCAGAGAGAGAGAGAGGTGGACCACAACTCCATAATCGTGTACTTACACTCATTTTATCTCTCTTTTATGCTGAAATTGTTTACCAAAAATGTATTCAGTGCCAACAAGAGAGAAATGTGTCAAAGGACTAAAAGGTAGACCCTCTATCAGCACAAAATGGCAGTTGTTTCTTGACTTTCAGATGGTAATGTGTGAAGTATATGTGACCTGGGCTGCATCCAAAATGGCACCCTCTTCCCTATTTGTCATTTGGGACGCAGCCCTGCCCATCTTCCTCAGAGTTAGGGTGGACATTCTTGTCCACAGCCAGACCTGCACACAAAATGTGTATTGAAATGCAAGAAATCGTTTTTTATTGACTACTATATTGGATGAACATTTTGAGTTTTTCCTGACCACTGTGCTTCTGGGGTTTTAGGCTGAGTATCTGTAAAGCACTTTGTTACAACTGCTGATGTAAAAAGGGCTTTATAAAATACATTTGATTGATGAACCAAGCTGGTCAGAGCCACTAGAAGGCAGTATTTAGTTTTAGTAGAACTGCATGTCAAGGGCACTAACACTGATGTACTATGGAGCATTCACACAATGTGAATTCCTTTATATGCTCCCTGAAAACGTTAAATTGTGAAGATTGGCGGTCATTGATTCTGGACCGCACACCCCATATTGCTTAGAGACATGACACATACTTTCCCACAAGCTAAGCTTCACTCGCTCTTCCCTGAGGGATGTTTGGACAATGTTTCGCTGTGTGGAGAGGGGAAATGATGTCAGTGAGAGATGGGTCCCAGAAGAGTGTGAAGGACGGGCGGTAAAAAACTGAATTTGGACCCAAAGTAAAACAACACTTTGCTTGTGTTAACATTGTGGGTGTATAGTGGAAAAAATAAGTCAAGGAAAACTCATTCTTGAGGTATTTAGGCCTATGTTTTTACTTCCCCTATCTTTGCTGAAGGATTCCAAATATTAATGTTCAATTATCAAATTAATGTTCATTCATCATCAACCGTATCTGCCCAATGGCCATTTCCCCTAGTGATCGTCAATAGACATTGGTTAACATGTCGTTTTTAGTTCCCTAATTAGGTCTACCCAAGTTCTAAATTGGTCCACACTCAATAACTGGTACGATCACATTAGAACTAAGTGCTCATAAAAAAAGCTTAAATCCTAATGAGGGAGTAAGCATATGGGCCAATGAAAAGGGGGCTAGAGGTGCCAGTAACAGCTTTTGGCTTTAGTAGGCCAGTAGGTGGGGCGAGTTAACTCCCTGCGGATCTAAAGCCACCTTCACACATTACACATGCATTACCTAAGGTCCAAACTATGTTTTGGTTTGATGACAAGAAAAACAAATGTCGCGCGGCTATGTCAATTCATTTCCCCTTTGGGTGTTTTAAAAATCCCTATAAGCTGGAGCAGACCCGGATTCTGAACGTTATTCCATGTGCCCATTAATCAATAGTGGAAATGTCTGCCCTTGGAAAAGTGAATCAATCTCACCACTGAAAACGCCACAACAACATACAATGAGTTCAGCCCCAGTGGGGCGCTGCATGAGGACACATTCCGAGTTTGGAAGAACAAAACTGGTTTGTGCAAACATCAAACACAGATGACTGGAAATTACATTGTTATTATATTATAAATTATATTGTTATTATATTATACATTATATTGTTATTATATTATAAATTATATTGTTATTATATTATAAATTATATTGTTATTATATTATAAATAATATTGTTATTATATTATAAATAATATTGTTATTATATTATAAATTATATTGTTATTATATTATAAATTATATTGCTTCACTGCACAGAGCAGAGAGCCCATCCCTTGACAAAGGCAGTTAACTGAAATGTTGAGGATTTCTTTGTGGTGTCTAATGTTTGGAATAAAAATAAATAACTAATTAAGTATGTGTTTTCCTCTTGAATCACTTCCCCCTTTCAAGGATGATACTTTTACAGCGCTTCTTGCCAAAGCCAAAGGGAGTTTGAAATGGAGTGTTCTGCATAGGTCCTAGGGTCTAGTACATCTTATGGCCCATACCAGAAACATGTGTTGATAGGCTCAATGTAAAGACTGATCTCTAATCTCCACTGCCTGATTCACACGATCATGCCAACCCGAATCATACTGTGCTGGCGCGTGTATTTCCTTTTCACATTGTCATTTCTAGCATGGTTCCAGCAACTATGGTGGATGCCTAACCAGGCCAGCCTAGTACAGCTTGGCTTGGCTCAGCTTGGTTTGGCTGTAATGTGAAAAGGGTATTTTCTTGACTTCCAATGCTTTTCACTGCTTTGATATCACCCACTGCTTTGATATCACTTTTTCCCATCAGTGTTCTAAACCCTCATACTACAAAGCCTCTTCTACACTATTAAGCCTATGTTGTAAAACGTAAAGGGCCCAAGAAGCCACAAATGCTACAAAAACAGTGTACATAAATAATTTATGCGTATAACACATCAACTCATTTGATCCTCTAATCACAATTGACGGAGGACAAGGCAGAGCTTTCAAGTGGTTGAGCAAAAAAAACGCTAAATTAATTTTATCCTGAAATGCTAGCCCCACTGCGGAATGTCACCTGTGACCCTGTCAACATTCCGATCCATAATTTAAAGTCTGGGATAGAGAACCTTGTTTAAACATGTCAACCGCCTTTAAGAGAATCAGAAAGAATGTTGGCAGCTCCTCAAACTACTGTCAGTGAAAGGTGGAAGAAAAACACACTCAGTTCATAAATAAGATTGATAGCTGTGCGGCGTGCACATGCCTCCAGTTCCTGTGTTCCCATAGAAGCTTTTCCGCTCCTATTAAATCAGCCATATCTTGCCATCTAATTTCCCTGGCTTGTACAAGGAAGGGCCCTGCCAAGTTCATGCTTGTTGAGGTGCCAACCTCTATCTAACTATCAACCAACCAACAGTACCTCTGCCTGTTGGAATGTTGCCTGCCTTGGATGCTTGTGTGTGAAAATCAACATGGTGGACAAATGCTTCCCACTGGTCACACCACTTAATTTAAACATACATCATTGGGCAATATTTGGTTGAGACCTATATTCACCCACTCAAAAAGACAGCAAAAAGTTAGTTGAATTTCCAATGTGTTATCACTATGCTTTCAACTATCTAAAAGCACAACCAAATTTCAATGGAAAAACAATGTCTGATTTTTGGTTTAGTTGTCACCCAAATGTCTATCACTGCGCTTTCAACCATTTAAAAGCACAGCAAAGTTCAAATGGGAATACAATGTCAGATATTTTGTTTATTTATACAAGATGAATGTATTAAAATAGATTGAATTGTCATTTTTTTGTAATTTTTTGTAATTTTTTGTCATTTTTTGTCATTTTTGTCATTTGTCATTTTGAAAAGATTAATGAAAAATAAAACACTAATATACCTTGATTAGATACATATTCACCCCCCTGAGTCAATACCAGTGGCGGCCAGAGCCGTTTTTGATGAGGGAGGACGATTTCTCTTTTCATGAGCATGGCCTTATTTATATTACAGCATATTGGATGACTGTCATTCATATTCCATTCACCCATTTCAATGTAACATCGATAGGTTTAGGCTACTGTGAGGTTGCTACAACCTAGCCTATGAATTAAAGTTTACAACGTAGGTGCACACAGGTCGGGAGAAACATTTAAGGTGACAGACAGTGACACATGGACAGACAGTGACACAGTTTCTATTGGACAAAGGTATGTTCACCCCCGTTTCGTTCCGTTTGCTCCTGTTATGAAAGTTTTTCAACAGAATTGGCAGAATGAATACACCCCTGATCACCCGTAAACACAGTTCACTTTCATAGCAGCCACGTTGTATTCCTTCTCACATCTATGCGCGCTACTCCTCTCACCTTTTCCCTTCGCTTGTGGACTTCAATGCACAACACATTATCTGTACACTCTAAAAATAAAAGGTTCCTGGAGTATCGTTTAGGGGTTCTTCATATTGAAACTGTGGGGGAACCCCTATAAGTTCTTCGAAGAACCCTTTTAAAGGGTTATTCAAATAACCCTGTCACGCCCTGGCTCTGGGGACTCTAATATGTTGAGCCAGGGTGTGTAAAGTCTATGTGTTTTGTTCTAGGTTTCACATTCTAGTATTGTTGTTCTATGTTGGCCAGTGTGGTTCTCAATCAGAGGCAACGTGATTCAGCTGTTGCTTGTTGTCTCTGATTGAGAACCATACTTTAGCAGCCTGTTTCCCCACAGAGTTTGTGGGATCTTGTTTCTAGTCGGTTGTGTTAGACCGTGAACTGTCACGTTATCGTTTTGTTGTTTTTTGATCGTGTCTCTAATAAAGAGTATGTTTGCCTGCAACGCTGCACCTTGGTCCTCATCTCTGTTAGACGATCGTGACAGAAGATCCCACCAAGACTGGACCAAGCAGCGTGTCCAGGAGCCATCACCAGGGAGATCTCTAGCAGATCTCCTTCGCCTCCTCGACTGGGTCAAGCCGGGTGAGGAAGAGAAGGGCCGGACTTGGAAGTAGAAGGGCGAAAGTCTGGCGAGGGACTTGGAGACCTGGTCCACGGGTAGGAGAGACGCCCAGACATTTTTTAGGGGGGGGCTCACGCCGTGGATGACGGGGCAGCAGGGGGCCGCGATGGAGCGGTTGGCAGAGGAGGCCGCCAGGTTACGGGGGCCACTGGTCGAAGAGGGGATGGAGGATGTAGAGGCACGGCGAGAGGTACTGGGGTGTGTTGCCAGTCCGGTCCGGCCTGTTCCTGATCCCCACGTAGGGCCAGTGGTGTGTGTTCCCAGTACGGTCCAGCCTGTTCCTGCCACTCGCACCAAGTCTACGGTGCGCGTCGCCAGCTCGGCCCGGCCTGTTCCTGCTCCACGCACCAAGCCTGTGGTGCGCGTCGCCAGCCCAGTCCGGCCCATTCCTGCTCCCCGCACCAAGTCAGTGGTGCGTTT